AGAATGTTCATTCAATTGAAACGACATTGAACCACAATATCATTGAAGTTTAATAAAATTCTTTAGACAACTCATCAGGACCGTCAGATTAATTTTTCGTTTTGAAAACTCCTTTATTAAGAAATAATTATTTCTTCGGTAGTAACTGGAGATTCACAAATAATCTTATCGAATATTATCTGATTCATGTAAATCGTCTCATAATTCTTTATAGATATGGGCCTTTTATAGCTTTTATGCGGAAAGGGTTTTGTTTATTGTTGAAGGCCGTACGATGACCTATTGTTGTAAACTTCTATGTCATGTGTTCTCTGGTGGGGAGTTGTCTCATTGGCAATAGTACCACATCTTCTTATTTTTCTATTTATATAATCAGAAAAACTTTTTTCAAATTGTAATTATAAATACAAACATCATTCCATTAATCTTTTTTTTTTTTGGCTTTTAACCCTGGGCTTGATTTTGATTATAAAAATACCGAGATGTGGTAGTGACTAAAGGAATGCGGATATAAACAACAAATATTATAGTTCATTGTACGACCATTAACAATGAACAAAACCAATAACTATACCTTATAGTAAGCCTATAAAAGGCCCCTGTTTGACAAAAAATGAAACAATTCATAATAGAAAATAAACGACCTTATTAAGCTTTCGGGAGCATAGAATTACTGCGTATGTTGTCCGAAATATACTGGATCGACAGAATAAGGGGGCGACCGGGGGGGGGGGGGGTAATTTCTTACTGCATGTAGGGCAAAATTGACATATTTGCAAGCATTATACATGAAAAAACACATTATTATGTGAAGAGAAAGATATCAAGATGACAGAATTTTGAAAAATTATATAAAAAGATACAAAAAGCTTTCCAAAAAAGAGAGAATTATTTATCATAGTGCTACCTAAATGAACATATAGATACATCTTTTTGTACAAGTTTACAAATGCTACATGACAATATTAAGATTATCTATTGTATAATTAATCCCAAATTTTAAGTTTTAAAATGTTCAAATGCTTTTTTCTGTATTTGTAAACATATAGTTGTTAGCAAGAGGTAAATGTATACATTTTTTAAACGAACAAAACTCTTTGTATTTCTGTATCAAAAGTTGCTTGTTTCATATAAAATCTGGACCAATCTTAAGTTGTCATTTGCGATCTAAGATTCCGAAAGACACATATACTGCTTCACTGAAACTCTCTCTATATGCGTTCGGAGCCAAACTTAAGATGCATACATCGTGCAATGTTCAAACTTGTTCGACTACGACGATAGACGAGGGTCTGGATGGAGCTTACAGAATAGAGAAAAATGAGCAAAAAAAAAAAAGAATTGGGATTAATGGGATACAAAAGTATAAAGAATAGCTGTGAATATTTAAAGAATTTATATAATAATGTTGTGTTTAACATTGACTATGCGAAAATAGTAGCCAGGGAGAGACACAATAGTGCACGACCCGAAGGGGAGTGCACTATTGTATCTCACCCTGGATACTATTTTCCATAGTCAATGTTAAACACAACATTAATATCATTATTATACTGACTGTTTATTATTTCAAATAGTGCTAATTGTGTATTTCTATGTAAAAAAATGCTTTATAGTATGAAGAGAAGCCCTTTATGTAACTCTGCATATATATATGCTGTCTTAAAGAAAGCTGATTTTGTCTACTTGACTGTTAGAAAAAGTTACAAATAAATAGATTCAAAAGTATGTGTTTTGAGGTGAAATGATTGATTTTAACTCTTTCTGAATATTAATCATTATTGAGTAGTTAAACAAGTAAAATTCTGCTTAAGCTGGTGCTAGAGGTTGTCTTAAACTTGTTATGAGGTATTTATATTTTGCTCAATTTTGAAGGCATGAACTCATGTTGACTTCAAGATGAAAAAGTACCAAAAAGACATCGTGTCATAGCTTTGATTGCCCGGTATTATTTTGGATATTGTCTAAACAAGGTTTACTCCATACCCCTTCCATTTCATTCCCATTAATATTTTCCATAGTACTTAATAACTTACAAAAAAAAACAGTGATGTGAGCATAACTTTTTATCTGTAACAAATGACTTATAAAGTATTCAAACAATTTTGGCTTCAACCGCAGTAAGCAGACGTAAACAAAGAACAAAAACGTTCTAATAGAAACTACAGTATTTTAAAAGTCTCTTAAAATGTCAGAAAAATATAAATGATATCTACTTTTTTCCCCTTATTGTTCAATTGTAATAGTTAATTAATTGTCAGGCTAATAAATCCAACCCACTTGTCTGTCAAAGCAACTAAGCTCCGCCTTTGCACGTGAAAATGAAAATGATTGACGTGAAAATCAAGTCTGTTGCAACAGCAAGGCATACTATTTTCGCATAGTGCAGTTAACGCTATATATTTCTTTCAAAAACTATGCAAAAATAGAGCAATTTTACTATAGAAGGACATTCTTACAGGAAGTATAATAATAGGTAATATAATACTGATCACAGAAATGAATGATGTATACAAATAAAGACAGGAAAATGTAATAATACAATAATACAATCATTTTCACGAGAATTTTACAGAAGAAGCGTTATTTTCAAAGATTAAGAAAATGCCCTAAAATTTAAGGAATATACAGAAATAGTGACCCCATATATACCCTCATAGAAGTCCTCGATACTGTGTATCTGTACTATGTCACCCTTTGAGACATTTTACCTGATTATCAATATTCAACACTATAATGCATTGTAATGAATTGTATTTGGTAAACTGATCAGTGCGGATACTACTATATAGAAAATTGATGTTAATATATTTAACAAGTGGGTAGTTTAAAAACATTTTTGTTTACAATAGAATACCTCGTGTGCAAGCGGAGTTTAAAACGATTATCAAATTCCCGTCCTTGTCCTAAATGTAACATAAAACCAATGAATGAAATGTGTTTCTAAACATGTCAAGAATAATCTATAATATTTGTATGATAGAAACAGACTAAATTAACTATTTATATTCACTTCCTTGATATTATATGAATTGACAAATAACAACAAAATACAAAGTCGCTTGAGAAATGGACCCCCTTTTTCTAAATGTATAACATAAAACCAATGAATGAAATGTGTTTCTAAACATGTCAAGAATAATCTATATTTGTATGATAGAAACGGGCTAAATAAACTTTATATTGATATTATATGAATTGACAAATAACAACAAAATACAAAGTCGCTTGAGAAATGGACCCCCTTTTTTCTAAATATTGGTTTATATATCACAATAACAGTAGTTTATATATGGTGCCCTCTTTTCGATCTTGTGAAAAATAAGAATAGAGGGGCATCGTATAAGATAAGATAATTATATTTTATTACCAATTAAGGGCCCACAAGGGGCATATATATAGAATACATGTATAAGGAAAAGGAACATTGATTAGCATAGGTACATAGAATTTAAAATGAATTTAAAATTTTATATGAACTACTGATATTGTAATAAAGTGTAGATAATAGCAAGAACACATTAAATAAGTTAAAATATTAAAGAATGTTTTACTGAAAAACATTAGGACAACATAAAAAAAAATGTAGAAAAAGGAGGTCCATTCCCCAATCGCCTTTGGCAAAATATTCAAATGGTAAAAAGTTTTGAACCATTCTTACACACACCCTAATACCGGCTTTCATCACGAGAGAAGCAATAATTAATACAGATCAAAATCCGTCCATTAGCTAGCTATACAACATGATATCACGCGAGTGTAGCACCCGTCGCTGTAAATGCTTCAAGTCAGATTTATATAAAAATAAGGAGATGAGGTATGATTGCCAATGAGGCAACTATCCACCAAAGTTCAAATAAAGTGGATGTAAGCAATTATAGGCAACCGTACGGCCTTCAACAATGAGAAAAAACCCATACCGTATAGTCGGCTATGAAAGGCCCCGACATGAAAAATATGAAACAGTTCAATTGAGAAAACTAACGGCCTACTTTATAACAAAACAATTAACGAAAGACAAATATGACAGACATGAACCAACGACAACTACTGAACTACAGGCTCCTGACTTGGGAGAGGCACATAAAGAATGTAGTGGGGTTAAACATGTTTGTGAGCGCTCAACCCTCCCCTAACCTGGGACAGTGGTGTAATATAGTCTGGTTGAAGAGTACTTTCCAAGACGTATTCTGAATGATATTTTTCGTTGTTATCCCTTAGTTCAACAAAGAGATGAACATTTCCGATGAACATGTGTGTTTGATACATGCATGAACGTATAGATCTTAGAATCAACATTGATTTGAACAAAAGAAATAATATAAGAATTCAGAATATCGTTGTTTTTGAAGATTCTTTTTTCACGTGGTATTTATAACCCAATATTATTATGAAGAGTTGTTTTGGTGAATTACATTTATAGTGCGTTTGTAACGATACTATAATAAGTTGTTCCCATAGTAAGGTGACAGGATGGAGTCAAGGTAGTCTCAGTAATACATAAAAGGAAGCATGAATTACTAAAAGACCACATCAACTACCAACAAACGACTCCTCCAAAAATTAGGCGTGCTAACAACAGCGAACAACACCCCCCCCCCCCCCCAACTCCACTATTTTCGCCTATTCAGACCATATGACTGTGGTAAATATAAACAAACTACAATAAAAGACCTGCACAGTCTAGCTACCTACAGGATAACAAATTACTCGAAGAAGAAAAAAAAGACGGCACATAAATTGGAAAGAAGGGTTATTTATAAATGTAATTTAATCTCGCCGTATATTTATGTGTGTTCAAGGTCAGAATTCTCGTCTTAGCATGAGGGATATAATTTGTTGAAGGACGCATTGTTAACTTTTTAGACATGTATTTTGTCATGTTGTGTCGTTAACTGCATACCATACACATGCACATACCGTAATTTGATTATCTAGACATTTAAATGCAGGTTAAAACAACTAAAAGAAATATTTAAAACTAAAATAAATAGACTGGCCCAAGGAAAAGACTTTAAATTCAATAAATGATAAATGGTGGTATAAAATTGAAAATTGTTTTGATATTAAAAGACATGATAATTTAGTTATCTCACAATTAAAAGAACATGAACACAAAAGCTGGTTATATCCATTTCATGCTATATGATAATTTCCCTGCTTAATTATAGACATGAAGTTCTTTTTGAACGTTACAATTCCAAAAATTGATAATGCTAATACCATCAATATGACAAGTAGTGGACCATGGTTATAAAACCACCAAATTATTTCTCCATCCCAGCTATGCCAGGTTCCACCGTGATAATGCTTGAAATATTTCCCTTCATACAACGCAGGACTCACAATGTGTATTTCATGCTTATTTTTATATAATCCATATTTTGCGGTAAAATATAAGGGACCCGCAGATAGCAATACTGTTAGATATGGAATAGGATATCTTGCTTGAGCTGGTATCAAACCAGATATCACTGATTTCATGAATGGGTGTCCTTTCGCCGAAACGAGCACTTCCAAAGAAAACCCATATGGTCGAACTTCCATGACCCCGACTCCTTGATGGCTTTCTATACTAGACAATATCTTTCTTATAGACTGATTATTACATCCTATATCTAAATCAGAATAAATTCCACCGTAATGGTATAACAAAAAATATCTCCCTGCGTCTGTTCGAGAAATTGGAAAATGATAACTGTGAAATACATTGTAAAACCATGGATATTGCTCCTTGATAAAAGTGTCCAGCATTTTATCGGTCCACAACATGTACACAAATTCGTTGTATTTGCGCGTTAATGGATATTCCACAGATTGTTCTGTCCAAGAAGCTTGTGCGTCTTTCCATTTCTCTGGAACGTTACTTGATTTCCAAGTTTGATGAATTATAAGAGGTATACCGTTTACAGTTGTTTCTGATATTGGGTGAACACTAAATTGTTTTGGTATAACTGACATTTGTATGTTTCGATTAAATCTCAGAATTGATGATATTAATAACAGTATCAGAGTTATAGCTATGAATATAAGTCCTCCGATTAAAATCTTTAGTTTTCTCAATAATTCAACGATAGTAACTTTCTCCATGGTGTCTGAAAAACAGAATTATATCATAAAGCATATACATTTACATAAGCATAAAAATAGGAAGGAGATACCAAAAAGGGGGGGGGGCAAACAAAAAGTCGAAATTTAAAGACAATACATTTAAGAAGAAAATAGATGAAAAGACAAGCAAGTTCACATAAGACTACACAGAAAATCAATATTTTACAAATGGTCTGCATCTAAACGGTCATAATAATTGTGTTTGTGTATAAGATGTACCCCTTGAGGACGTATATCTTATTTACAATAGTATATTATGGTTAACGCAAAATGGTCGCTTTAAATAATTAATAAGGGGCTTTCAGAACTGACTTAATCTTATCATGAAGCAATATAACGGCAGGCTATTCAATCACATTTAATAGCATCACAATGAATGTAAACTGATTTTAAGTGACCAGCGAATAATAAGCTGAAAATATTGATGTCGAGTAAATATTCTTATAATATATTATGTATAATTGACGCTCCTGTAGTAGCAGTTACTGCTTAAAATTGCAATATTTACCTCCAACGTTAACGCATAACATAATCAAAATTCCTCTAATCTATCTGGTTTTTCATTTGGATAATTATGCAGCAACGGAATACATCAACTATATACTCAGTTCATATACATTTGTACGTGTCTGAATAAGTGTCATAGGCGAAATCGTATTTATCTAATTGTCCAAATCATAGATCTAGACCACAAAAATCCAAAGACAAATTATTATGTTTGCATATATATATAATTTGTATTTAAATGAAATTTGTAGTAAAGTCTGTCATCTCTCAATTTAGTCGTGGCAGGCATACATACCCATTACATGCATGCATTTTTCACAGCTTTCTAAATATTTTACCTTAAGTTTAAATTCGTAGAAACATCCCGAATTGTACATGTATCACCTTTTTACATGTCAATTTTCAACCAATGTCTAAAGTCTTGTAATGAAATACTACCGTTCGGAAGTGATAAGTACTACTAAAAATAACCTCTGATTTTCTGGAACTCTTAAATAAGTATACTATGGAGCGCATTAATCCCAAATTGTTAATGCAAACTCATGGACAAATGAATTTTGGCTCAAAATGATATTACTCTACGTATATTTCTCTTACACCAAAAATTTCATATATCAAAACATCATATATACCGGAAGTAAAGAAAAATAATATTTATGCAGGTGTTGTGTCCACTCTCCTCAGTGCAATTGACTTTTTAATGAACGGAACAGTAAGCTGCATAACATCAAATGAAGATAGAAGTATATATATATATATATATATATATATATATAATTGTAATCTATCTGTTTCAGATAATTTCATAAATCCTGGATTAATATTGGGTTTCATCTTCAACCTCATTAATATTACAATGATTACAAATTCTATTTTATCTGTGAATTATTTTATATCTACCCGGCCCTCTCTATTTCACTAACTCGCATTTTACATAATATTTATCGATTTTCAAAATTATTTTTAAGAATGTATTTGTCTAATTCATATTTTGTCTTAATTTTACTGTACAAGAACATTTTACTTGTTTCATTAGTTGATTTTAATTTTTCAAAGAATATATTTTCAAAGATATCTTTTAGTTCTTTTTTTAATATTTTTTGAGAATGAACTCTTCTCTTGTTTATAGTTTTTTCTGTATTTTTTTTATGTCAATTTTATTTGTGTTAGCTATATTTTCTACATATGAGAACCATGAAAATATACCGTTTGTGCCGAGCCATTTAGACAAACAGTAAGCATAGTATAATAAAGGGTTATTGTCATCACTGGATATTTTTGTGAAGTATTTCTTAATATACTTAATAAAAACATCTATGTGATACTGGGCTAGTTCTGCTCTAGCTGCTATATTGACAGTTAACTAAGCCCCAGTATAATTTATATTTGCAAAATTTCAAATGTGTTTTCTCCACTTGGCTACTATCAATCATTGCTAAAAGATCAAATTTACTCATGTCTTTATTTTGTGCTTGTCTATCAGCTCTTATTATTTTTTCAATTACATAAAAATCCATATACCAAATTTCAGAGTTATGCATGAGGATGGGTTTAATTAGGGATTCGAACAATTTTTTGCATAGTTTTATAGACACATTGTCTGATGGAGAGAGATATTTAAAAATATAGAAAACATAACTTTAGTACCTTTCTTAGCCAATTCAATGTGTGATCAAGGTAATTTTCCAGACGCTTCAATTATATTTCAAAGATATTTATATTTTAAGACCTTTTCTAGTTTGTCACCATTTAAGTAACAATCATATTTATTACATATATATTCTTCTGTTGAAAGACCATTATTTTTTTTTGTAATACATGTAACCTGTCTATTAAATCATTTCAAGTACCAAATATTTTGACCAGTTAATCCATAGCCTTTTTTATTACTAGTCTAAGAGGTTTTGATCGTAGTCGACATTTTTCTATGCGGCATCCTACGAAAAATCAAACCTAAATTTTAATCAATTTCAACATTTGCCTCGTTCCGTGTGATATGGAAAAAAAGTAGGTGAGCCAACCCAAATGACAAGAACCATATTGTAGTGGTAAACTATGTTAATCATGTCCATAAATATAATACCCCCTTTTAATTCCTTTAATTTAACAGGGGATTGGTAAAGAAAATGCTTCTTAATTATTCATCAGGGATTTTATAATTCTTTTGTCAATTCTGTGTATATTCAAAACTCCTGAAATTTCGTGGATTTTACAAATTCAACGTATTAAACATATTACACGTGTACGTTTAGAGAGGTTAAACTGGTTTGAACATACAAGTATTGTGAAGACATTAAAGTCTCAAATCTAAGGGGGAAAATGACAAATTTCAACTGATTCCAGGTAAGGCTTGATACAATGATTAACTGATACAGATCAATAGAGTTTCGAAGATAGATTTTGTTTCTACGTTTAATGGCCGAAATGCTGAAGAAGCCTTACCTTAAAAAACACCACAGGAACTCCACAGTGTCAGATATGTACTGATTTCCATTTAAATATTAATTCTATTATGTATATTTAACGGTCACTTCACATTCATAATAGACTTCGCGATTACATTTAAATAAAGGCTATTATTATGTTTAAACAAAGACACTTTTATGATTCTTTATGTTGTCCAATTATGCTTGGTATTTTTTAGAACGTTCTGCAACTGGTTTGTATTTTTGTACAAACATGAAATAAGATACGGGTAGAAACATTTCTCTCTTCGGTATTTGTGAATGTATTTAGAATCGATAAAGAGAATAAAAAGAGCAAATGAGGTTAAAAAGCGGACTGTGTGTTAATTTCAATTGACAATGACGTACAGTTTAGAAAGTAAACATCTTTGATGAATAAACTAACCTGTCAATAGAGTATCTCTTTAGTCCTTAAATTTACGAAACTAATTAAAAAATGTCCGGAATCTCGTTTCGTCATAATGGTATTGTATAGGCTTGACTGAACACATTGAATAATATCAACAAGAGCGTTTTAAAAAATAAGTCCGATCGATTTAAATAATAAACTAGAGGCTCTAAAGAGCCAATGTCGTTCACCTAGGTCTATGTGCTTCTTCGACAAGAGCACTTTTCTAAATTGTGGACTAGAATAGAATTCATGACAAAAATTTTGTTTTTTTGTTGATCATGATTGTATTGATGATGACTTTTTCTGTTTACAGTTTCTCTCTATCTTCTTTAGTTTTTGTTCAAAACACAAAAAAGAGTAAATAAAATTTGATTTATAATAAGCTAGGTCAATCACTTCTATTAGAGTCTACAACTAATGATTTCGACAAAATGTGACTTATTTGTAGATCTTGTGTAAACTGATCATTTTTGCTATTTAAAGTGTCTATCTATCTTTTATGGTTTTCAAAATAAAAGGCAAAAACGTAAATTATTGGTAAAAACAATTATTGCTGTCTGTATTACATTTAATTAAAGTAAGGTTTTTGGAGTAAATTTCCGCGGAAAAAATAGCATTTAGAGGACAATATATCCTATACAGAGTCTACTTATTATTAACCTGTCCATAAACTTTATTGCCGAAACGTACATAATTGTTAAGAAGAAAACTTAAAGCTTTAATCATCTCATCACAGCTCCTGTAAGTATATCTAGCATATTTCCCTTTTTCAATACAGAATATAAAAATAAGTAGATGTGGTATGATTGGCAATAAGACAACTATCCACCAAAGTTCAAATGAAGTGGATGTAAGCAATTATAGGCAACCGTGCGGCCCTCAACAATGAAAAAAACCCATACCGTATAGTCGACTATAATAGAAGTTATTGTCGTTAGATGATGAATGAGGTCAAGGTCAGATGAAACCTGCCTGACTGACATGCATACTTTGCAAAAAAAAGTGTTTCAATTTCAAAATTTCAAATGCGGTCAAAACACATTATATTTTCAACTTGCATTATGCTTTCAACTTGCAGTAGCATAATTAGTTGTTGAATAGGCGTTATGGGTTGTGGACTATTGCAATGTTGATATGAATTCGTATAGTTTTTAGATTTTTTCAAACCTATACTTCCATACCGTTATGTGTTGACAATACACTTGCAATTCATGCAGACATGTATTCATATAACGTTATGAGTTGACATACATTTGAAATTCAGACATATATTCATATAACGTTATGAGTAGGCATGTATTCCTATAACATTATGAGTAGACATGTATTCATATAACTTTATGAGTAGACATGTATTCATTTAACGTTATAAGTAGACATGTATTCATATAACGTTATGAGTAGACATGTATTCATATAACGTTATGAGTAGACATGTATTCATGTAACGTTATAAGTTGACATACATTTACAATTAAGCCATGTATTCATATAACATTATGAGACAGCATAATCATTAATGTGTTGTTTGTTATACATAAATAGTTAAAAGATTCTTAGATTTGTATATAGACATAACTTATTTTTACCATATTTAGCAAAACGTCGGTTTGTGACCTTGTTCGACGTTTTTTTTTTAATTGAATCATGACAATTCAGTTTTACGGTGTGCTAATTCCTATTATATGATTTGCTTACAACAAATACTTGAATTTGATTGGTCCGTTAAAGTTTCTTTCCTAGGTTTACACTTCGATAAACTATGTTGGTGAAACTACTTACGATGCCTTGTAAACGGAAAGTTAAAATAAAAAAAAAAATAATAAATAACGTTCCGATTTAGAATTATAAGGATTAAGGGGGTACCAAACACTTAATGGGGGTCAACTCTTTAAAAATCAGCTGAACGTTTTAATCATATACTATTAGTAAAGTTCTCAATGATCAAAATTATTCCTGTAAATTGTTTGGTTCAAATTCCTTGAAATTTTTATATTTCTATCAACAGGTCCAAGTAACTATTTTATCAAAATTTTATGAAAATTAAACGAGCCAAATCTATTTTAGTGAAAGTGTTGGGTACCCCCTGAAACACATTTTTTCTAGAGGTTATTGATGTGTGAACTGTGTCGATGACTCACAATACCCCCTTAAACACATTTTTTCTAGAAGTTATTGATGTGTGAACTGTGTCGATGACTCACAAACTAAAAATTCATTTTGTGAGTTAATCGACCAAGTTTACACATCAATAACCTCTAGAAAAAATGAGTTTAATCCTATAATGATCTTTATCATACCCAGACATGTTCTCTGCTTTAAACCGTAGCTATACAAACCCGAGCATCCATATCATGATTCACTTAAATTGAAGGACTGTACTCGTATATATTAAGAGCTTGCATGTACGTTCATAGCGTATACGTAACGAGTTACCATTGCGCTAGGCATGTGTACATACATACAACGTCATGTGTTTAAAATTCGAACAAGATTAGAGAGTTATTTACTAATATTTACTATGAATATAAAAATTAGAAGATGTGGTATGATTGCCAATGAGACAACTCTCCACAAGAGACCAAATGACATTGTACCCGTACAACAGTGTCAAATCTTATATCTGTCATGATTGTACCTTTACAACAGTGTCACATCTTATATTTGTCATTGTACTCCGTTATATACAACTTATTACACCGTCACATCTTACATCCATCCTTGTAGCCCATTATATACAACTTATGACACCGTAACATCTAACATCCATCCTTGTACATCGTTACATACAACTTATCACACCGTCACATCTTACATCCATCCTTGTATACCGTTATATACAACTTATAACACCGTCACATCACATCCATCCTTGTACACCGTTATATACAACTTACTGCACCGTCACATCTTACATCCATCATTGTACCCTTACAGCAGTGTCACATCTTATATTCGCCATTGTACCCCGTTATATACAAATTACTGCACAGTTACAACTTACATCCATCATTGTACCCCGTTATATACAACTTATGTCACTGTCACATATCATATTTGTCATTGTACCCCGTTAAATACAACTTACAACACCGCCACATCTAACATCTATCCTTGTACCCCTTTATATACAGAGTATCACACCGCCACATCTTACATCCATCCTTGTACCCTTTTATATACAGAGTATAACACCGCCACATCTAACATCCATCCTTGTACCCCATTATATACAGAGTATCACATCACCACATCTTACATCCATCCTTGTACCCCTTTATATACAGAGTTTCATACCGCCACATCTGACATCTATCCTTCTACCCCTTTATATACAGAGTATCACTCCGCCACATCTAACATCTATCCTTGTACCCCTTTATATACAGAGTAACACACCACCACATCTAACATCCATCATTGTACCCCTTTATATACAGAGTATCACACCACCACAACTAATATCCATCCTTGTACCCCTTTATATACAGAGTATCACACCACCACATCTTACATCTATCCTTGTACCCCTTTATATACAGAGTATCACACAGCCACATCTAACATCTATCCTTGTTCCCCTTTATATACAGAGTATCACACCACCACATCTCACATCCATCCTTGTACCCCTTTATATACAGAGTATCACACCGCCACATCTAACATCTATCCTTGTACCCCTTTATATACAGAGTATCACACCACCACATCTCACATCCATCCTTGTACCTCTTTATATACAGAGTATCACACCACCACATCTAACATCCATCCTTGTACCCCATTATATACAGAGTATCACACCACCACATCTAACATCTATCCTTGTACCCCTTTATATACAGAGTATCACACTACCATATCTAACATCCATCCTTGTACCCCTTTATATACAGAGTATCACACCACCACAACTAATATCCATCCTTGTACCCCTTTATATACAGAGTATCACACCACCACATCTTACATCTATCCTTGTACCCCTTTATATACAGAGTATCACACTACCACACCTAACATCTATCCTTGTACTCCTTTATATACAGAGTATCACACCGCCACAACTAACATCCATCCTTGTACTCCTTTATATACAGAGTATCACACTACCACATCTAACATCTATCCTTGTACCCCTTTATATACAGAGTATCACACCGCCACAACTAACATCCATCCTTGTACACAATTATATACAGAGTATCACACCGCTACATCTAACATCTATCCTTGTACCCCTTTATATACAGAGTATCACACCGCCACAACTAACATCCATCCTTGTACACAATTATATACAGAGTATCACACCGCTACATCTAACATCTATCCTTGTACCCCTTTATATACAGAGTATCACACTACCACATCTAACATCTATCCTTGTCCCCTTTATATACAGAGTATCACACCACCACATCTAACATCTATCCTTGTACCCCTTTATATACAGAGTATCACACCGCCACAACTAACATCCATCCTTGTACCCCATTATATACAGAGTATCACTCCGCCACGTCTAACATCTATCCTTGTACCCCTTTATATACAGAGTATCACACCACCACAACTAACATCCATCCTTGTACCCCATTATATACAGAGTATCACACCGCCACATCTTACATCCTTCATTGTACCCATTTATATACAGAGTATTACACCGCCACATCTAACATCTATCCTTGTACCCCTTTATATACAGAGTATCACACCACCACATCTAACATATATCCTTGTACCCCAGGGTTAGAAATTTGTACATGACCGATGGTTTAGAATTTGGTGATGTCTTAGGGTTAGATAAGA